AAGGGATCTCAAACGACACAGGTAACAGTGGGGACTCCTAGAGCCGCCAGGCTCTCCAGGCAGTGTCATCTGGAGGTGTTCCCCTTCCTGAAGCAGGAATCACCAGCAGTAAAACAGAGCGGGGAAGTGATCCTGCTGAACAACCACGGCCTGATTTTGCAAACACAGGATTGGGAAATTTTGGATGGGACATGATCTTGGCTTGCTTTTCCAAGGAGAAACAACAACCTGTTCCTCTGTTTGGCTGTCAGCCTCTCTGTTCTGGATTTGCATTTCCTGATGCTTTCTGACTAAGCCAAAGATTATTTTTTTAATGAGTGCATGTTCCTGGCAGAGACCCTGAGTTTCTCCTGGTGAGCCCTTAGGTCATCCTTACAGGGAGGTTCAGAAAMAGAACTAAAAGCTGGCGAAGGGTGGTTCCGTTGTTAGGAGGCTGGACCAGGAGACCATGTGAAGTTCTCAAATCAACCACAGGCTCCCAGGATCCAYCTTACAAGCACTTTTTGAGATCTAAACCAGTTTGTGTGAATTTAGGACTCTTGGTGCCTCATGGGGAGCCCTGAGCACACACATCCCGGTGCCTCACTAATGCCCAAAAGCTGTTTTGTTAGTGGATTGATGTGGGATTGTGGCCTTCCCTAGGTGCCAGCTCCTTCCATACCATCAGAGCAGATAGGATGGATTATGGGAGCTGGTGGGATACTCCCAGGGACCGGRGGAGCTGTCTGGAGCAGGGACAGTGCAGGACATGCACAGCACAATGATTGTGCTCCCTTTGCTCTCCTCAGAGTCCAAGCAGCCCCAGCTCTGCAGCRCAGCCCACCAAAGAGCTTTCTCCTGTGTGACATTCCCGTAGGAAAACACCCAGCAGCCCTAACAGAYGGCGCTTTGTGGGCCTAGGAAGTTTCAGAGATAACATCGTGTGGTGGCCAGCTCATGTTTCTCCCTGACGCTTTATGTTACTGCCTGAGGCTGCTGCCAATCCAGCACTTCTGCCTGGCCCATCCCCCTGGCATGGGATACACACACAGACAGCAGGGTTACACTGGACCCTCACCCCAGGCAGGACCCCAGGGAGTATTTCCATCGCAGGGATCTCCCCAGAGCCCAAGCCCCATCACCTCTTGGTGCAGAGCCTCCTTTCACCATGGCTGGTGGGGAATTCAGAAGTCCTGCCACCCCAGGCAGATTTTGGTGGGATGACTGATGGAAACASAGACAAGGTCTGTTAGAATTGGGTTAGAACATGCTTGGAACAACTTGCTATTGCTCCTGGGTCACTTAGCTTAAGGGTTTGGGGGGTTTTGCCATCTTTTCCTACTCTTCCAGTAAAAACCATTGTTTTGACCAAAATTTGCCTGCTGCTATGATCCCCATCCTAATATTCTCTGATCTCAAAATCCCCAACCTGTCTTAAAGGTCTTAGACCCATGAAGAAAAATACTCACCAACACCAGCTGCTGTTGTTATTAACCATGATGATAATGCTTACAGCCCTAAAAACCTCACTAGTATTGTACGCTTTCAAGTTGTCCAGTCTTTACCCAAATCCATAATTTTTCATGTCCTTTCCATGCCCTGTAAGAAGTCTGACCACAGCAGATAAGGGAGAACTATACCTAATAAAAATACAGTGCAACAATAGCAGAGATTATCCCAGAAGGGAGAAAAAGATGTTACTCTTTCCCTTCACAAAGCGCTTGTCCACTCTTGGAGAAGARGGATCAATGTCACAGCTTCCTCTTCAAAGAGACTCAGAGAAAGCCAAAACAATGCATGGCYGGCTTCCATTTGCTATAAAAGTACAGAAATGTGGTGCAGACAATGCCAGGCTCCTGTCACGTCTCCGTGTGTCTTTGGGAGGATATTTGACCTCCAAGGATAAGACTGGCCGGAAAGTCAGGGAGTGGTATTTCCTGTGCTTTGAAGTACAACATGACTTCGCCCACCTTGATAGCCTTCAGTGGTGATTTGTGCTGGGACCTCCTGGCCTGGGACAGATCAAGGTGCCAGGCTTTAGCCATGTAGTTTGGCTTCCCTGTAGTTGCTCCAGCAGCAGTGGATGGAATTTGAGCCTGGCTTAACTCCTGGAGTCCCCATCCCATTCCATACCATGCTCATGTGCAARGTTTAGCTGCCTTTCTTGGTGACCCATGCAGAGACACTGCCCTGCACCAGCAAAAGGGTGGGTGATGGTCCTGGAATCGGCTTTGGTTAGGCTGAGTCAAAGGCGGCGCCTGCACAGGGTGAGATTTGCCTCTCACCTCCCTCCCTGTGCTCATCCCGCTGGGGAAAGAGGAGGCAGCAGCCACACCTGCTGGGAGATAAGAGGGAGCTCAGAACCCTCTAATCAGGGCAGGGAGAAGACAACATCTGGCTGAGGCTGCAGACTGTGGGAGCTCTTAGGGATGCTCCCATGGGAAGAGGGAAGCTGGGGAAGGCCAGCCCACAGCTCCATCTCTCACGTCTCTGGCTCTGTCCACATTTCAGGTGAAGTACTCTCAACCCTCCTTCACCTTTCACAAGCCCAGTTGTCTCTTGATTTAGCAAGCTCATTAGAAAGTCTCCAACCCCTTAGAAATGTGCCCTTCCCCCTCACAGTCTTCCAGCTCAGATTCAATTAATATCAGGCAATTAAYGCTGAATTAAAAGCTTTGGCAGGAGGCTCCATCCCTGTTTCACTTGGCCAGCACCACACCACACCCTCACTGTGACCAACACAAGGCTGAGCACAGACACGGCCTGAACCCAGAGTCGAGCAAAGGGCAAATAGGAAAATAGCAGGAATAAACAAAGAAAAGGGAGTCCAGCATGATAAGGGCCTGCTGACTTGGCAGGTGTATACACTGCTTCCAGTTCCATGGCCTCTTCGGGACATGGSCACCTGGGAAGGGAGGACAGCCTTCCAGGTTAGCTTATCCTCTGGGGAGCCCAGCTGATCCCAGCAGTACTTTATTAACCACCATGAGATGAAGAATTCAGGGCTGGTCCTGCTTCACCCACAAAGGAGGGTGCCACAGTCCTGGGGTCTGCTCCTCTGGCAGCCACCTTGGYTTGTACTAGATGGGTTCCTCACAGAGCAGATCCCAGAGGGGTCTTTTCTGGACACAGCTTCGGGAAGAGAAATAAAAACCAGGACCCCTGGTTCCTCCTSGTGCTTCACAGCTGGGGCTGGACCAGGTCTGAACTCCAGGGGCCAAAATTGTTGACACATTCCTGCTGGAGTAACCTGGATTTCAGAACATTAGGACATGGCCCTGGGGCAGTAAGTGAAAGGGAGCCAAAAATATTACACTAATATGCAGAAACATTCCCAGCTATCATCAGCTGTGGCACCCAAATGATTGGGTGGTGCATAGTAAACAGAGCAGAGCGGGGTTTTTAAGAGCCCAAGTTCTCTTTTTCAGGTATCTTATGCTAATGCACAAAGAGATCCAGGAGATAGGGACGGTTTGAGGACTGTAAAAGGAAACCAGCAGATAGCTATTAACAGAGGAAAAATTCACAGGTACCCAAGGTTGGGCACAGGGGTGGGTTTTATTACACTCAGAGGGGTTGGCAGACCACCAAGTTTCTATTCTAATATGGATATGAATTTWTACCTCTTGTAGGTGTGCGTAGGGATTTCAGTGTTGACCACAAGAGAGACATAAAAGGAGGAATTTTAACACACTGGCTACTAAAATGCACYTGAGAGTCCTTCCTAGCAGTGTCTCTTTGCTGAGTGTATTACTGTGACAGAAACAGGCTGAGAGTTGTAAGGTTGAGCCCAAAACGTGCTGGGTTCTCCAGATAGTCTGTGTACAGGCCAGTGCTTCACCTGCATCCCCATAAATACATCCCTCTGACAGTCCTGATAAYATCAGTGAGAAAACTGGCTCTGCCCTCACCTCAGGGTGAAACACACCAAGCAAAATACCACAAGTGTTCCAACATGAGGAATAAAAATGGATACATAAGGAATCTAGGGCAGCTCTGCTGATGATACAAGAAGCCCTGCAGCAGATAGTCAGCCTCCAGAGGGGAAATCCCAGGTGTCAGGGATGACTCCAAAGTATTCCCTGGGGATTAYACACACTTTAGCCTAGATTCAGCGAAGACAAACCATGGGAGGAAGCTCCATTGCCTGCCCGTGCCACATGCCAAGCACWCTCAGAGGTCCCCTCGCAGGAAATCCCACTGAAGATGCTGAGGATTTTCTTTCTTTAGGCCAGCAATGAGTGTTTGAAAGCCAAACCTCCAAATTCCGACAATCTTATCATACGGTGAGCAGGACAAATCATCCCCTGCAATTTTGTTATACCTTTTTTTTTCCATTTTCTTGACTTTTTCCACTTGCAGTTCTTCAGAGCAGTGCCCGGACCTCTGTCACATCTTCTCCCACATTCTAATTCTCATCTGAAAGAGGAGGAAAAATACCTGTGCTGAGCCTGTCTGCCTTTCACTAGCCACTCACCACCTCCATCCTTGTGCTGCCAGTGGAGCAGTGTTCAGTTATGCCACTTTTCTTTATGTGGGCAATCCTCTCGTAAAGATACTTTAACAGCTGGTGTAGGGCTTAAAATTACCACATAACAAAAGTTAACTCTAGGCATGAAAAGTGACTTGGGACACACACCCATGAGCACATGGGCACAGGGATCTGGGGCAGACCATGAAGGCAAGGCCACCTCTGTCCCTGTTAAACCCTGGGCAGGACAGTGCTGCTGGAAGAAGACATGCTGGAATGCCACAGAGTTGGGGTGTGCCTGGAATGGAAGGGCAAGAGGGAGTGGTGGAAGTAGGTTTTKAAAAAGCATCCTGGGATGTGTCACCTTCAGTCCAGGTCAGAGCAGTGAGAGGTGTCTGAGAGCACGGAGGAAACACCCTTGTGTTCACCTTGCTGCCCCATGTGCTTGGAGACCGCAGCTCGGAGACGGGGAGGGCAGGATGTACACGGATAAATCACCTGAGAGCCTGTTCTATAACCACTGACTCTGTCTCTTGTGCTTCTGCTGCAGTTGCCCGGCCTGTGAAGCAACATGAGTCACAAGGGATCCCTCAGCAGCAACCCCGGCTCATCAAAGTAAGGATCCTCCTGCACCACTCCTTCCTACTGTCCAGGGGATACTCCRAGCAGTCCTGCTCATCCCCAGAGTCCCTGGTGTTTGTTTCACCCTTTCTGGCACCTCATAAGCTGGCACTGCCTCACACATCACCTGCCCTGTGTGCTGGCGTTTGATAATGGCACATTAGGCAGAGAGAGCAGAGGGACATCAGGAGCCTCTCCACCTGCAGCCTCGGGCTACAGCAGCCCATGGCAACTTCAAACAGAGCCAGAACCCCACCAGCTCTGTCCCTCCTCCCTGCACGGGGTCTGAGCACCTGAACCGTTGGCTGCTCTCAGGGGGACACAGCACAAAGCAGCCCCTGGGCACCCACTGGCTCACTGCTCCGTGCAGGACAGCCTGACCACAGTGCCTCAGATCCTGCTTGGATCCTCCTCTGCCAGAGAAAACACTGTTATCTCCTGGCTGCTCATTCCTGCCCATGACCCAGGCACAGGAGGTGGCCCTACATGTGGTGCTTAGAGACTCGACACCCCAAAACCCAACTGTTTACACACAGTTCCATCCTCCCATGTTCTTTCATGGGATATGTTCCATATCTGAGCTCCCGCCTTCAAGGGGTACATCTCCTTGGCTCTGACACTGCTCTCTCTTGGAAGGGATCATCACCTTGGCTCTGACATTGCCTCAGGTTCAGGTGGACTCAGGTTTATCACAGAGGGATCTCCATTTAGCTGGGYTGCTCCCTGTAACAACCCCACTTATGGCACACTGGGAGCTGCTGTCCTTAACCCAGCCCCTGCAGAGCACTGTCCTTCCAGGGGACACTGTGAAGGTAACTCTAGTGGGGACAGGCCTGGCTGGGCTGCTCYGTGTCCTGTTTCCACCGCTGGGTTCAGTGACGTGTGCCAGCGGTGTGAATAACAGGTAGGGTTGCACAGGGAGCCACCAGCACRGCCCACAAGGAAATGCTTTGCATGGGAGGGAAGCGCTGGTTCCTCTGGGACAGCTGCAGAGCTGTTGTGTGAAAGCTGGTGTTAAAAATGTTTGGGAGCTGGCGGTTGATTTGTATTTTTTCCAGTGGCAGCATGGGCAAAGCYGACGGAGCCTCCAAGCTGAGCGCGAAGGACCTTTACGGTGAGTTGTGCCCACAAACACATCCAGAGTTTCTCATAGCAAAGGCACCTCTGGGGAGCTGGATCTGGATGTTTGGGAGCTTTACACTGCAACTCAGCCAAAGTCACGTGAATCCAGAGTTCCGTACACAACAAGCTGGCCTGACCTGGCAGCAAAAACACACATCTGTGACGAGCCTCCCATGCTGGGGAGTTGGGATTTTGTGGGAACAGAACAGTTGCTTCTCCTACCCAGATTCTCCCCAGGTCTGTTAGCAAGATCACCTGATAAAGGACCTCACAAAAGAAAGACTGTCCTCAGCAGGTTAATGATTATCCTCTTCTAACTACTCAGCGAACCATGAAAATTCGTGCCCTTTGGCTCTTTGGAAGTGCAGGGAATGGGCAGGATGGGTGTTTGTGCACAGTCCGAGAGGCAGCTTGTTTACAAACCACCRCAGAGCACATTTAGGTATCAATAATGTTTATTCCTGACCCCGGCAGATCCAAGTACCCCAGGTGAAAACGTGGCCTCTGGGGTGTGCAGAGCAAGCATAAATCATGCAAGAAATTACCTCCCTCAGTTATTTCATGGACAAGAAGTTGGGGGAACACAAGCAGCTTTTGGGGAGTCCAAGTCTGCAAGCTCTCCCACCTGAGAGCTGTGGATTTACCTGGTTGATGTTTAATTGGGAAGGAACGGAATGGGCTGTGTGTACTTCTCCTTGGAGATCTTCTATTTGATCAGAGATTGCCCTTGGCAGCTATGAACTGCCAAGGCAGTTTATTTGTCCCTGGGATGTGGCTCTGTTTGCCCAAGGGTTTTGGCTGGAGGTTTTTCCATGTGGAGTGGCATGGAGCAGTGTCCATGAGGGGCTGATCTCACTTGGGGGAGAAGTGGGATGGCAGGGGCTGGACTTAGTGTTAAAGAAAGCCATTGTTAACTTCAGTTAGCTGCCAAGAAATGCAACAGAGCAGAAGGATAATACAGAAGATAATGGCTGTTTGTGGCCTGCAGGGTGGGCAGGTGCCAGGCAAGGGTTTGAACCATGTCTGCCACTTCTGGAGATGGAAGGACACATGATAAGAGAAGCAAGAGGATGAGATGTGGAAATTCTGSGTGCACACAGGGCTGCTAGTGCAGACAAACTCGTCCTGCCTCCAAGGCAGCGCACATTCCTCCGGCTRTGCACCAAAACTGTGGCACATCCCACCAGGGGCAGGAGGGCTGTGGTTGCCGTGTAAAAATGAACCTGGGAGCTCACAACAGTGTTAAAGCYGAGCAGATTTGCAGGCTGGCACCCATGGGTGCAGTCAGCCCAGGGCTCTGAGCCGTCAGGGTTCCAGGGTGGGATCTAACAGTGCCATGCCATGGCACCCCTCAATCCCRGGCTGTGAAAGCCAGGGCAGGGAAAGGCTGACAGATTGCCTTAAAAACAAACACAGCTCTCAAATGAGCACTTTTCAACACAGAATTGCATCTTCTACATTTTTTTACATGAACACACCTCAAAAGCAAATTCACCAGGGGCTGGGACCAAATTCCAGCAAACCTGAAATGAGGACTGCGTGTCCCTGGGCCACATCCTCAGGAGGGGTAAAACAGCTGCCTGTCACTTTCCTGCTGCTGCTGAAKCACAGAACGAGCTCTGCAGGCATTCCCTGCACAAATCAGTGGCTCTTGGCCAGCCCAGCCCCTGGCTTGAGCACATCTAGAGGGATTTTGCTTGGCAGCACTCAAAACCCACCCACTAATTCAGCAAAGGACACTCAGCACGTGTAAACCAATGCTTAAATGTCTTGGTCCCCTTCCCACTCAGATCCTCCCTCCCCCAGCATCAATTTCTGCATTAATTTCTGCACATTTGGGGATAGAGGGCAAGCAAGAACTAAAATTCCAGGGAGAATTATGTTTCATAATGAAACAAATCACACCAAGCTGAGCTGCCCTTGATTATGTGATTACAACACTGCTGAGGGAAAATTGGAGCTGACAAGACTTTTTGTATTTCCATTTTCCTCCAGTACAATCAGGCTGGACTCTCAGCCTTGTGTATACTGCCAGACCTCAAATTTTTTGGAGAACAAGGCCTTGGGTTTAGCTTTCCAAAGATGCTTTTTCTACAATAATACTGCCCTAACATGACAGGGGTGCCAACTGCAGGTACACAGGTGCTACCTGGGGGCCAAGGTATCCCGATATCAACAAGGACTTACTGGGAATATTAAACCCACCTCAGGGAAGATCTGGAAGAGGGATATTTTAAATTGTCMTGGTGAGGCTGGAACAGAGCAGCAGCTTAAGGCTGTGCATGGGAAGGCACCTGGATGATGAAGGTAGGGGATGACTCTGGGGGGCTCCAGGACATAGGCTGAAGGTCCTCACAGGACACGGACTCATCACATGGTTGTTGATGGATGGGGAAGGCTCTGGTGTCACACTTGGCATGCTGAAATTGCTTTGAACGTCAAATACGTAGCCCTCCACTGTGTCTTCTTCACTGTGGTGAGCACAGAGGGATGTGGAGAGATGACAGAAGGAAATTTTACAATGAAATTGGCTTAAAGCCCCAATGTACTCTCCCCTGGCTCTACCCCTACCAGAGTTGGATGCGCTTTCTAGCTGCTCTGCCATCCTCAGTGGAGTTTCCTAGCTYTCATGGCATCAGGATGCTCATCCTTCCCTCCCCACTTAGTGAAACAGCACCACATTAGTTCAGCTCCACATTCTGGAAGCATCTCTGGCTGCAGGGAGCAGTCCCGCCTCGGCTGGCAGCAGGGAATGGCTGGCTCTTCTCAAGTTGCCACCTTCCTCCCCTCACAGGCAGCAGGTGAATAAATGTTAATGYACATCATAAATAAATTAGGCTGCTTCTCCACTTACGGGCATCTGTTCCGAGCCCAGATGAAAGCCTGTTGGGGGGGAAACCAGGATGGCTCCAGCTGAAGCCATGGCAAAGGCTGGCAGGAAGCCTTTCTGCACAGCACTTCCACAGCAGGAAGGCTCAGGTGACTCCAGGTGGGCTTCTGCAGTTGTTCCCCTCAGCTGCTCCCATGGCTGTCACACAGCGCTGGCTGGCTCTCCTGATGGATCAGGCAGCATAGCCAGGAGAAGCTGAGGGAAGTTTGGTGATTGCAGTGATTTCTCATAGGGCTGTGCGGAGGAGCAGYTTATTCCTGTTTGGCTGCCGTCTGTCCCTGCTCAGCCTCCTTCCAGCCCCCCGGGCCAAACCTGTGAGACCCAGCCAGCTGGTTCCAACYTGCCCACCCATCCTCGATGCACTCATTTCTGGGAAAGAACTGAACCYGACAGGGCACAAGGCTGGAAAAGGGGTTTTGGAGCACGAGTGGCATGAGTTAGGCTGCAGAAGCGCAGTGCTGAGGTCGATCATTTGACACTGCGCAGCTGTAACCCAAGCCAGGCTGCGGCGCKGTAACAGGACACAGAGCACTATCACAAAGAGAAGAGCCACTTCCTGCCATCGTGGGCCTGGACAGGGATCATCTCTGTGGGGAGCCATGGGCAGAGGCTCCACTGGAGCCAGAATCATCCCTGCCTGAGCCACAGCCAGCTGCTTGGCCCTGCTGAGGCAGGACACACTGATGGAGGAGTAAATTACRCTTAATGCTTATGAACCAACTCCTGGGGGTCTTCACAGACCCCCTTGTATCCCAACAGCACCAGCCCCAGACACATGGGGAGGTCTCTGAGATGAGACCCTCCAGCCCTGAGCACAGCACCCAGAATGTAATTCCTTGTTGCTGGCTCTCCCATGCCCTGCCCAAATCATGATCTCGTTCACAATTCCAGCTGGAGGCCATGTGGCTGTCACACCTTTTCTGTGGGAGCATGGAGGGGCTGTTCCTTCCCCATGACCTCCAGGAGAGMATTTGAGCAGGATTTAACACACACTGCTTTTATCTGCAAGAGAGAACCCTGGCAAGAGTGGTAGGTGGCTAAACCCAAGCCTGCTCAGCCACACTGTTGGGTCGAGAGGACCATCCCGAAACCCATGGGGATTTGGGCAACATCTGAACGGTGCCACTCGCCACCACGTCTTTAAAGGTTTCATCCCACTGGAGAAAAAGCTGAGGTTCAGCAGAGATCCAGCCTCCTTGCCCAGGCCATTAATTAATTCCTCATCTCCTCTGCTGCCAGCCCTGAATAACTCCCTTGTCCTCCCCCACTGCTCCTTCGGTGCCATTCCAGCTCCTTTCTTCACATCCCCTTTCCCACTCAAGATTCCAGCTTCAGATTACGTGGCACCCCTTTGAAACTGCGTGTGTGGGTGACCATTTTATTCAATGCCTTGGACACTTAATACTCCAGCTGGAAACAGGGCTGGAAGAAAAACTGGAAGCCAACAATCCTGTTGGTTCCTGCAGATCAAACCCCAGTGTTGGGTAAGACAGGGAACACACTGGCYCAGTTCAGCCCTGACTGGAGCTACTGGGAGGAGCAGACATTGCTCCAGGTGCTGCTGGCTGGGAATTTGGAATGACAGTTAGTGACAGGGATTCTGTGAAGAGCACACACCTCTGATGCTGCTCAGCATCTCCAGTGACTCTTTCTTTTTGAYGCCTGGAAACTGCTGAGCACAAGTTGTCTCCTTGCATGGAGTAATGCTTAGAACTTACACAGAGGAACTTTTTCCCAAGTAGCAATGGGGTTTTGGATATGCCCAAGTAGCTTGGGAATTAAAGCTGTGGTAGTTCATAAAAACAACCACAAAAAAAATGGGGGARCTTTTTATTATGAATTTTTTCAATACTCAAATAAAACAAATTWATTAAATCAGGATTCCCCCAATCATATTAACTACATTCTGACATTCAAAAAAATRTCATTGCCAGCCACAGGAAGTTCAGAAAACAGCACTTTGGGTTTTTTGGTGAAAAATGATTTGGCAGATTTCTTCTGGCACTGGTTGTAAAGCAAAAAGGCACATCCCTACCGGTGAGCTGCAGCCCCTCGATGCCCCAATTATCCTGCTCTGAGCAGCCTGGTGGATGCAGTGCCTC